TGGTGCTTAGTTGCTGGCTGGGGTTAAACCACAACACTGATCTTTTTTGATAACCCTGCTTCAGTATTCACCAGAGTCTGAAAGCAACACCTTCTCCATTAGGAGATGGAGTCTTTCTCATGTTGTGTATTAGAGAGTATGTAAAGTATGTTTTGATGAGTGAGTCAGCTTCTGAGGAGATCTAAAGGGGGGCCTTCTTTCAATATAACTGATAAGGAAGAGGTTAGGAATTGCTCTGAGGGCTGAAACAGCATTGATCAACCTCCAGCCTTTCTGATTACTCTCCCTGCTAGATAAATCTTGACCTGCTGCTCCTAGATTTGTCAATATAGTTTACAGAGCAACCAACAAAACCTTTCCATGAATTTGGCCCAAAGTGACAATGGCTTTGTGCTGATGTTGCAGCAAAATAAATACTCAAAAAAGAAGAAAATTTGCCCAGCTATATGCAAGCTATAGGAGAATAAACTGTGGTTATAGCAGCATAATTGTGTATACACAAAAGCATTTAACTGAATTAACTGTTTCAGTAACAAAAATCACACCACTCACTAGAGAAGTTAAACAACCTAGCAAAAGAACAACCACCCTTTTATAGAATAGATATTGATTTCACAGAATCACAGAATAGTTGAGGTTGGAAGGGATGTCTGGAGATTGTTTAGTCCAACCGCACTTCTGAAAGGCCAGTTTCTTTCCCTTGCAAATAAGGCAGAGGTATCACAAAACAAGAACTTACAATTTTCTGTTTAGTTCTGCTCTGCACAGGTATACAGCATAGTACAATCCAGAATGTTCAGCATCCACAAAATCTATGCCACTCCATTTTTGCTGAAGAGAAGGCATCGGGCAAGTTTAAAAAGGCTGGATATGTCTGTGTATGCATGTGCGGTTTTTCCCAATGGTGTATGAAGAAAGCGTGTCCTATTCAACCCTTGCCCCCTGGAGTGGTGGTCAGTGTTTTTAAGTGCTTCACCCTGGTGGGGACTCTTCCTTTAGCTTGTGTCACAGTTAATAACTTTTAGGATGGAAAAAAACAGCAGCCTTTGCTTATGTTGTAGTCCCTTTGCATCTTTACATCTCCTGTATCACTCTGAGACAGTTTATTTGAACCCTTCAGATATGCAGAGCTGTTCCATACGCTGCAGCCTCCCAGCTCTCTTTTTTCATGCCTATATTCCACTTGACCTGCAGGATAAAAAAAAAAAAAAAAAAAGATAAGAAGCTGGTGAGCCAAGGTATGAGAGTTCGTTTGAGATTTGTACTTCTATTATCTTTCTAGGGTTTTCTGCTCCATCTAAGGACCCACCTGGGTCTGAAAAGAACAAACTTCAGAGGCATGCTCACTGGAGGCCCTGAAAAGTCACTGAATCTCTGTAGTGGAGGGGTCTGCTAAGAGGGGAGGAAGAGGCAAATGGTGGCTGTAAAGAACTGTTTTCACCCAGGTGTGGGATTCAGGGACAGGAACCACAGCACAGGGATTTCTTGTAGAGCCTGCTTGTGCCTGTGGTGATGCTGAGGGCTGGGACTGTGTCATTCTGACAATGACCCAATGTCAGTAAAAGATATCTGAAGAGAAAAACAAGGAAAAGGCATTCAGAAGTGTTCTGCTATTGAAGAAGACACAAAAGGAAAATAATCACTGAATTCTGTGCAAGTGAAGAGGGGGCAGACACCAAAAACAGCAGTGCGTAGAGCATTGCTGATTTCTGAGAGCTGGGATTCTGGCCCAGTTCCTCTAACCCTGACTCACATGAAATTTTCCTGTGAAGCATTTATATCTGACAGCATATGAATATCATTAAAGGCAAAACCAACCAACAACTTACATTTAAATGGTCTGAATGTAAGAATGCTTTCCAAAGTGGTCTAATTTTCCTGTCACCTTTTAGGATTTCTGTATGACTTCTTAAAAACTCTTTGCAAAGTCACCTTGCACTTAATACCTTTGGTCCTCGTATTTGAAAGGTTTGTCCAAGTTAGTTCTCCTATTAACCAGGGTATAATCATCATGATACTCTTCACAGCCAGGAAGCGTCAATATTTCCTTTTGTAATTAGTGTATGTTCCATTGTATGAAGCATTATGGAAGTTTTTAATAAGCGGAGCACCATACTTCTGCTGTTAATTTTGCTCTTAAAATTTCCATTGAGTGAAGCAGAATAGCAACAGCATCTCTGTCAACAAGTGGCAGCACAGGAGAAAACTAGTTATGCTTAAAAGGAAATTTTCCTATTGCCTCAAAACGCTGCCAGTTTAAATGTTAATCCTTTGCCCTGGCCTGGGCTGTATGCACAGACACATGGCTGTGGATACCTCTCACACTGCAGCACTCAACAACAGAGTTGTTTCTCAGGCTAAACAACCTGAATCCTTACTTAGTTTTGTACAGCAACAAAAGAAACCCACGACCAAAAATTACAAAGCCATTTTCCTACTGAAGTTCTTCAGTCCAATGTCCCTGACATACTTTTTTGCTCTACTGTAGAAAATAGAGGAATTTTATTAAGTGGGTGTTGTTTCTGTGTGCCTTCCTCATCACATGGTCATGTAGGACTCTTGCCTGTCACAAACCCAATTGTTATTTGTGTGTTTGAGTTATTTGTATGAACATCAGACACTTGAGCTTGCTGTACTGCTTCAGCAGAGTCACTGAAAGCTGCAGCCTCCAGAACAACGCTATTCAGCACAATGGCTTTCAAACCAGCTTGCTGTACTGCTTCAGCAGAGTCACTGAAAGCTGAAGCCTCCAGAACAACGCTATTCAGCACAATGGCTTTCAAACTTGTTTCATCTGATTGCTCATACATCTTTGCTGAGAAAATGGACAGTAAAGACATTCAGGGCAGAAAGGTTCAGGGCTTTGGCTGTTTCATTACAGATAATTCACAGAGAAACTGCCGCCTCTAATTTATTTTTTATCTTGATAAAATGACAGCCAAAAGTCTTTGACATTCCAGGTCTGCCTCAGTTCTTGCTTGACAAAGTCACTCCACTGGGAGTAGATTTTGGCTTGCTTTTGACTACTTGCCACTGCTATGTGACGTTTGGATTAGACTAATGAACATTTGTTCCTACAGTTCAGGCCATAGGCTAGAATTCAAGCAATGTGAACTCATTCCTGAACCACACTCTGAGCTCTTTCTGTGTGCCCTTGAGTAAGAAACTTAACCTTTCTGGTTTTTTATTCCCTCATTTGAAAACAGTGCTTTGCTTTCTCCCTGATGCCCTCCATGCCTTTCATTTTTGTGCTTAGTGCTCATAAGGCCAGACAACATTCTCTTACCATGGGAATATACAAATGGAGACCTGAATTTCCTAAAGACCACTATGGTTTTCTGTAATGACAATGTTAATGAACTGCTGTACAAGGTAAGTTGTGTCTCATGTACATTTAGTGAGCTTTGGGGACCCTGCTGGGGGGACAATACCATTAGTATTTCCCACCTCAGCACTGTCATCTAGTGCAATTCAGAATTCAACTCAGCTGAAGTCTCTGGAGATGAGCTTAGCATTAGGAATATTTTGATTTTTGATGTACCCAAATTAAAGTCGCAAAGCTAGTAGTACTTAAAAGCATAGTCTGTATTTTTTTGTGGTATCCTACTGCGTTCCTTCTTTTGATATCACAAGTTAGTTAGTAATGATTACAAAAATATGAAACCTTCATTCTGAATTTCAACACGCATGCTGAATCATGGCTGTTTATCTCACTAATGCCACCACATTCCTGTTAATAACACACAGACGAAAGATCAGTACATCCCCTCCCCCAATACCACTGTCATCTGAATTATAATTGTATTGTCTGTGTTACTGATGATGACAAGCTGATTGGGAGAAATCAGAGCCTTTCATGCATTTTTAAATTCACTGCTGAAATTCCATGAAAATGTATGAAAGTTGACCTTGCCTTCATGATGACACACAGCACTACAGTCTTCTAATGCACCTCCAGTCACACAAGTTGAATTATTCTGCATAATCCTGAGAGGCTGTACTTAATGATTCCTGTGGAGCACAGAAGATCTAGTCCTGTAGAAAAAGCTCATAGCTGAGTCAAGCTGGCACAACTGGAAGTCAGAATGAATTACTTGATTAATACAATTAACCTTTTTGGTGTAGAAAAAGAAGCACATGTGAAAAGTATCAAGCTATTTGCTCTGGTAAAAGACACATTTCTATTCAGTTTCTGATTTTAAAAAGTTAAGAGCATCTCTCTGAAAGCAGGAATTTACATGCAAAAGCATATTTTTCAGTACTTGATCAAATTGGACTTGAATATCTGTTTAAAATTAAGCATATGCTTTAAACAGACCTAGACAAAAGGTATGCTGTGTGTAGATATTCAGTTGCTATGGAAGTATCTTTGATGGATATTTTCTGATGGTGACAGGAAAATGCCAAAGAGGGAAAAGGGTTAATATAAAGAAAGCACAAAACATTAATCCGTGAAGACAATCCAACACCAGCAGTGTCTGTCTCTTGAAAAGGATAATTAAATCCATTATCAACATCTGTAAGGAAGACGCACAAGTTGGTGCATAATTGAAGACTTAAAAATTAAATCTGAAACATGGGAACCAAAATTAAAAATCTTGAACCATGTTTCATTGTTGTAATACTTTAATTTAGATACACATACTGGAACTCAATAAGGAAAATTCATTATTACAACCTTCTGGGCAAGATTCAGACAGAGTGCTTGAGAGAGAATCCTGCTAGGTCGGTCTCACATCTCACGTACATCAAAATACTGAGAACTGCATAAAAGCAATCAAAATGTAAAAATATTGTTGCAAAATGTATGGGCTGTTTCTTGATATACCCTGAGGCTGGAAGCCTCACAGAGTTTTTTGGAAGCACCCAGGTCTTCTGTAGACTGTAGGCTTTTATTCTTTTGGCAAGATACAGGAAGATGTGCATTTGGCTTGGCGGGGCGGGGAGGGAAAGGAGAGAGGGGAATCTTTTGTTTATGCTGGAAAACCCCCTAGACATTTAATGAGAAAATCCCTTAGAAAAGAGTAAATTTCTGATTTACATTTTAGTATCAAAGGTTGTATGGGTAAAGGGCATAATATGGGCCCTTGGGAAGCTTGTTTTTAATTCTCAGAGCTTCTTTTCAGGCTAAAAGGAGTACTCATGTGCTTAAAGTTCAGCATACACTGAAGCCTTTGCCTGGACTAAAGCCTTTATCAAGATTGCAGTGTACTTCTTCAGGTTATATCCAAGGTTGTGCATATTGCATATACCTAGTACAAGGTAAAAAAGATCCATCAAAAGTACTTTCATTTTTTCAGCTATTGTAATTGGTTGCTGACTAGCTTAGTGTGTTTAAAATACAGGAGCCGAATGCAGAGATATCACCACAAGCAGCCAACCTGGCAAATTTCGCCCTTGATGCCTAAGAGCACTGGCATTAAAGACCTCTTACAACGAAGGCCGGAGAGGCTGCCCAAAGATAGCTCGGTGCTGATTGCATCCAAGTGCTTTATTGTGGCTGCAGAAGTAGTGCAGGGAGTTTTGCGTCTGCCTTAATTGAGCGAAAAGCTTCAGAAAACCCCTATCATGTAGTATTGGACTTGTCAAAATGACAAGGATAAGCTGGAAAAAGCAACAGGAAAGATTTTTGCAAGATGTATGTATGTGTATCAAATTGTTGCAAAACAAAACTTCTCTTGGTAAAACAGCCACTTGCAAATGGCTCTGGAGAGCTGCCTGAGACACAGACAGCTGGAGTTGATGTAGAGCAGGTGTGGGCTGTATGGGAAATGTTTTGATTTTGGTTCACCTGCTTTCTCTTCCTGTCTTATTCTGCCTGTGCTCTTACCTGGCACAGGTAAAACATCAGAACAAGTCAAAACATGGTCTCTTTGTTTTCCTGACTTCTTTCTCTCCCTTCCTAAGCTAGAATTTTAAATGTCAGCTTTTCAAAATGTGGCATTTTCAGAGAAGTGCTGTAGCCTGGATCTTACTGAATGGAAAATGTATTTCCAGTTCAAAGGGTTTTAAAACAAGACAGGAAAGGCCAAGACAAATGAAAAAGACTGTGGGAACAGCAGCTGAAGCTCTTCTCCGATTAGATTTTCAGCTGTCTCTGTCAGCATCTTTTCTCCCTAGGGAATTTGGAAGAAAAATTGAAATCTAAATCTTGCATGCCTTAGAAATGGCTCCCTTCCCTGGCAGCACCTGTAGACACCACAGGTTTCATGGCTATGGAGAAAATGAAGACAAAACAGTCATTAGAGCACAAATTTTAACACTTGCAGGAACAGGGCTGTTCTAAAATGCTGTCACCCTTTTCATCTTCCTCTGCTACCTCAAATATACAGAGGAATATACCTCGACCTGAGATATACTTCAACTGCCTGACCTCAAATATACTCAAAGATGATAAAGCCAGCAGGGTCACTGTGGTGGTGCAGTTTTAACCATATGAACAGCTTTTGTCACAGCAGTATGGCTTTACTGAAAAATGTTTGAAGACATCATCTCTTTTTTAGTAACAAAAGATGACTAAAACCCTAGTGATGATGGACCTAGGGGAACTGGGAGAGCATCTAAGGGTACTTCAGAGATCTCTGTCTTTGGTCTGAGTCCAGCACCGTGCTTGAGAGAATACATTCCCCCTCTGAAAGGGGTTCAGAGCTGAGGAGCTCATTTATTCTCACTTCTGTCTGTGGAGGCATATCCCATTTGATGCCTTCTGTTGGTTCAGTCAAACAGTCAGGAATGCCCACACCACTCCATCATGTTTGAAACCGCACATCTTTCAAATAACTCAGCTCAGTGAAGAACATAACTCTGTACTTAAGACGATCTCCTGTGTTCCTAATGGCTCGTCATGACGATTGGCATGATCCCCCTAGTTTGATCCTCTGGGTAGGAGCCCTTGCCTCAGCAATTTGTGTCTCAAAGAAGAACGTAAGCAGGTGCTTAAACTTGTAGTAAAGCATTCAATGGAGGACTTGCTAAAAGCTTTGCTAAATGGAAGCCATAGTAGTTTGCATTTCTCAAGCACCTTTCTTAGGTTTGACAATATGTCATTGAAAACTCCAGATATTACCAAGTTAATTACTAAGGGAAACTTAGTTAAGAACTACCCAAGGGCAACCTGGAGCTGAGTTAACATGGAACGTCCCTGTTTTCTTTCTAAAAAGATATTCAGGTTGGCCTTCTTAGTAATGTCTCAGCACCTCACGGTTCCTTTGCATTCACTGGTGCTCTCAAGGGGAGAACAGAGAGTTGCTGTCTTTCCCTTCAAGACACCAGGATGGAAATGGCATGAGATATCTGTAGGAATCCCCAGACGTGTCTCTGTCAAGGGATGTCTTTCCCCTGCCACACTTTCAGTCTGGGATCCTCCAGAACAGAGCAACACAGTTATGTTCGTCTCATCCATTTGGAAGCAACGGAGCTTCCAGCAGGGTGCCAGGGCAGTGTTACGACTACAACTTCAGCCTATAAAAAGAGAGCGTCTGGGAAAATTAGTCTCTCTTGCCATCCCCAGGTACAGCTCTGCTACTCCTGCTTTCCATTCAGGCAAGCCTCCACTATTTCTGCCTTCACAACAAGTTATAAAAAGACTGAGAGAACACGAGGAATGTAAAGCTTATGTTACAACTCCCTCCCATACTCACACACGTATTTCCCATTCTGATGTGGAAACCTGCCTGATGCCAACCATTTACATGGGTACTTTTCATTCCAGTTAGGGCATCCAGAGGACTGTTTCTCTCTCAAGGGAAAAGAAAAACAAAAAACAAAAAGGAAAAGGAAACCAAACCAAAGTAAATTAAATGTCCTTTCAGCCAATTTTATGAAATGCTCTCAGCTATTAGTTTACCGGCATTCTTCCAGACAGTGGCAGCTGCTTCAGCGCACCAGGCTGCGGAGTGAGCTGCTCCATAGCAACAGCCAGCAAGCGTGAACATACCCAGCATAAGCATCATGCAGAGCCACTGAGGGGGACTTTCAGAAGGAGTAGGAATGCTTAAAATTAAGACAAGGTACTGCATCTTACCTGAAAGGGAGAGGATCTATAGCAGCCACAGTTGTTATACAGGTCAGTGTAGGCTGTGTAACTATTCAGCTGTCAGAAACTGCCTTTATCATAGGTATATCACTGCCTTGTGATATGAGAGAATCTTTCAGGTGTTTCTAGTGTGTGTGACATAGGTTATATGGATTTTTTTGTATGCAAGCATGACTCAATTTTCTGTCTTTTAAATAGACTTGCAACCAAAAAAATAAAAAAAATTGGGTTTTGTTTGTAAAGCAGAATAAGGAAGTGGCACTGCTCCCCTCTTTTAGGTTTTAAAAGCCTTTTTTGGGCTGTGTGACTCTGACGTAGAGTTTGATGAAGCTGCATGCACCAGGCTGGAATTCAGTTTCAGGAGTGGAAGATTAAAACCTGTTTCAGCATTGTTTCACATTAGCAGATCCCTGTTCTGGCATGGAGAATACAGATCCCTGATATCCTTGGCTTTTGGTTTGTGGTGGGGTTTGTTTGTTTGTTTCCCAACTGTGATTTTTATTAATTTATTGTAATTTATTGTAATAATTCTGAAACATGCTAGATTAGCAGCCCAGGAGACTAATGTCACGAAGCAGCAGTCTGAGTTATACCACAAACCTACTCTGCTGGGATTATCTCTAGGAAGGAGGAGAAGAGTTTAATCAGCTCTGTCAATTCATTAGCCCTTCCCTTCTGAGACAGGCACAAAGGGTCCCACTTAGTGTCAGTAGTATTGGTAGCTATTCTGAAATAAATACAAATCCAGCTCATTTTAAATCAGGCCACTGAGCAAGTCATAAGCTGCTGTAAGCTGTCGTTATCATGTGAGGCTGAAGCAGTTCTTTTGACACCCCACCACTTTGATATAGTTGACCCTTCCCTGAGGACTTCTCAGTTTTATCTTGCTGCTTTTTATGGTTTTAAATACAAAAGCTCACAATGTGGGTTGTTCCAAAGACTCCTGAGGCAATCTCAGTAGCTACCCACGTCCTGAGCGCTTGCCAAGATGAGCACCATTCCCCACTACAACACTGCTCTTCACTATAAGGAAACCCAGGGGAAGGAGAGAGCATATTTTCCAGAAAATCCCCTAGTCCCCCTGATAACTGGGAAAGCAGGGCTACAGCACACACCTTGGAGGACACCTCCTTCACAGTGCAGCTGAGTCAACCTCAAGAGGGGGTCACTTTCTCTCCACTGACTACTGAGCAAGTTGATGAAGTGACCACCTTTCCTCTGGTAACATCAGACCTTGCGACTATCCTCCGGTTAGTGTAGGTCACCCCACTGATCCAGTGTCTCAAAAGAAAAGCAGAGTCTATTCCAACCCTTTCTCTTTTCTATCACCACAGGGAGACCTCCAGAGATCCCTCATTCAGGTGGATTTTGGAGATGGCATCGCTGTGTCATATGCCAATCTCAGCTCGACAGAAGATGGGATCAAGCACATCTACCAGAACGTGGGCATATTCCGAGTGACCGTGCTGGTGGAAAACAGCCTGGGTTCTGACAATGCTGTCCTCTACCTGCATGTAACGTGTATGTATGTTCATACTCATTGTTAGCGTCTGTTGTTCTTTAAAAAATTATTACTTGTCCTTAGAGATAACATTTGGGGCTTGACATTTGAATGATGGGATATGATCAGTGTTTGTCTGTCCTCCAGCAGAGGACTCCAGACTGAGAGAAGCCACAAGCAACAGTGACATTTGCTTTTTAAACCATTTTCCACCTCTAATTTTGGGTAGTCTAATTTGCGACACCTCAAAGGAGTGTCCAGCGTTTTCTGAAATGCACCTTCATTAGCATGTTTACACTTCCAGAAAAACAAAGCCATTCAGGATCTTTCATCACTTTTAAAAGCCTTGACTTTTACTGTGTACATGTGTTTTGCCCTCTAATGAAATACAACCACCTCTGGGATGGAAACCAGTGCATTTCAGTCTTTCGGTTGTCATAGGAACCAAAATCTTGGTGTTAAAGAGTATTACAAGAAAAAATATTATCTTCACATTGCTCTTCTGCTGTTCTTTTTAACCTTTTTATACTTAAGCTGTCTCTGATTTACAACTGAAATGTATCTCAAGTCCTTGTATAAAACCAGTAATGTGTTCTTTCATATTTATTCTAGCACATGGTTACGAACCCACAGGGTCAACCTATTATTGAAATTTTGTAACATCCCTAATGGATTTTGTTTGGGGCCATCATTTTCTTTATACAGTGGGGTTTTTTTGGTCAATTATTTATGCTTTCAACTGTATGCCTTTGTGCCAGATTTACTGAAAAAAAAGGAAATTCCAAAACTTAAAGTTATGCTTACAGAAATACCACTTACCCTCTACCAAATTGACTCCACATATTGTCTAGATAATTTAGCACATTCTATATACTTTAACTCTAGTTTTGGAGTTACTTCATACAGCATGAAAGCAGCTGCCGCTTCAGGGGAAGAGTGCAGCTCTTCAGTGGTGTACCATCATATCAGCAGATGGGAGCAATGGAAGGTATAGCTGTGGGGATAGGAGGTTTATGAGGGAGCACTGGAGAAGCAGGAGCAAATATCTCCCTGAATGCCTCCCTTCAAAAAGACCTTCGGTTCACGATCATAGTGTACTAGTTATGATTCCCTAACCTGATGGATCCTGGTCTGCAGCAAACTTTTATGTCACATAATCCTTCAGCACACCATGTGTTTGAAAAACTCAAAATACCTTGCAAAAATAACTGTATTCATAAATTAGCTTATTATGAAGCTTGGGATTTTGATATGGGGGCTTAGCCTGTATCACTTTTGTGCTGAGGGCCTGGAGAATCAAGGTAAATTCTCAGCTTTTAGACAGCTCATGTTTTGTTTTTTTTTTTTTTTAGTTATTTAAGTGTCACCCTAAGTAGGGTAGAGAAAAGGGCCTCTTCTCAGAATAGACATATATACACTTTTATGTAATTTCTTCAGTTCTGGAGTCATATTCTAGTTTGCCTCTCTGCATGTGCTTGGGTAATTATCACGGGAGCTGCTGCTGGCTCTGAATGCAGAAATCCCCCTCCCACTGCTGCTGGTTATGAAAGTCAGCTCAACAGGAGCTGTGGTCTTTTTTCTTTTTTTTAATCTTTGTAAAGGTCATTGGAAAAAAATGGAGAAGTGTTTTGGTGGTTGATATTTCGCAGGAGGTTCTGACAGCCTCGTGCGAGCAGAGTTTGTAATCGTTCGCTGTTTGACAAGAGATGATTCCATGGGGACCATTGCACACCTTCAGCCTATCTGCAAAGTAATGGGGCCACATGAAGCAACAACTGCTTTCTCATGCAACAACCACAAAATGGAAGGAGAAGGCAGGTGTCCAGCCTTCACTCTCACTCATAGTGGCTTTCTGGTTTACAGCTCTTTTAATCCATTTTCTTGAGACATTGAAGGCTTAAGAACCATTTTGATTGTTTAAGCACTACAAGAAATAAACAATATACAGACATGTTCGTGTGACTTAGCAACTGATAATGTATGTTTCTGTGTTTTGCGTAGGTAATGCCAGCACAGGACTTAAATACTGTGTGGTCATTGCAGCCAGACCCAGATTATACATGGCTGACCCCCTGGAGAAGTGACAGCTTTAAGGGATATGTCTCACCTTTCTCTACATGAAAAGAATTAGGGACTTCAAAACAGGTTGCAGACTGAGCATGGTGCCACTCAGACTAGCAATAGATTTGCTGGGGACAGAGATGTACAGTAAATCCAGTCCCCTCCAGAACCTAACACCCAGATCCACAAAACCTCCTAAATCCTATTTAAATGCTTGCATTGTCACTCAGCTCTCTGCTGAGTATTCTGCTCAGGGTGTATGAGCTTGGCCTTTGGGAAGTTTTATAAAACCTGTCCTTACAATAGACCTACACACTGTATTGCTAAGATCCACGGAAAAGCAGCGTGCAGCCTGAACATCCAGAGAGTTTTAGGAAGGGCTACTAACTGTGTGACTCCTTGTTACAGGGTTGATTTACATAAGTGTGTGCAGCCAGATCTGGGCCTTTCAACACCCTTCCCGACCAGTGGCCAGCAGCCTTGCTGAAGGGAAAACTGCAGGCACTGAACCACAGTGCTTATGATCTCAGAGTAAAATCTCCATCCGGTGCCCTCCTCATCCTGCTGCAGCCATGGGGCCAGCACACAGTTGCAGTGTCTTTGCTGCAGTTGGTCCAGCGATCCAGAAATGCGGGTTATTGTGAGGCAGGAGCATTTTGGGGTGTATGGAAAGTAAATTGTATATAAACTGCTTCTCCAGCCAACAGGCTGTCTCTGAACTGTCCTGACAGGTCAAAAATTTCCCCTGAATGCTTCAGAATAACATCACCTGCCTAAGTGAACGTTTTGAGAAGCTTCGCCCCTTCTCTTGTCTGGGACTTGTACAGTTTTTTTCCTGGGGCAGGTGAAGGTCTGTGGTCTCCATGGCCCTGCATGAAGCTCAGAAATGAATTCTCTTGAATTCTCTTCAGACTTACCTGGGAGAAAGCAGTCTTCTACCAAGCTAAGGGCCTATCCAGAGTGAGCTATCCCCATCTGCTGGCCAGATAGTAGTTCAGCATTTCAGCCACTTTGACCCATCAGCTATCTGCACAGAAATACTCACGTGGAATTGGCTTGGTTGAGCCATTCTTTCATGTTCTTTCCTAGCTGGCATATGTTGGAGGTCCAAGGAGGTACTGGGCACTCTCTGCATTGCAAGATCATTTGAGATGTATTCAGAGCAGCTGTGCAGTTATGTTGGAGTGTATTAGACTTTACATGGGCTCCACTGTCACTGCTGTCACTGCATCTGGTGTTAGGAAATTTATTCCTTTAGAGGGCTGTTCTGACATGGGGAATTTGGCAAATATCCCAAGAGATACCAGAGCTGCAAAATATTTAGCCTGGGAAGCTGCTGTTTTTCAGGTCTCTGGGTCTTTCCGAGAGCAGCCACTGCACTGGCTTCTCATGAATTTTCAAGGAGAGCATTGACTGCTGATTGTAAAAGGAAGCCATGGTCTGGTCTATAGCAGGCTTTGGTTAGTCTGATCATGGATAACTCTTAATTGGGCTGCATCAGGTTAAGCAGCAGCTGTGTCTACATCCCTGAGAAAGCTGCCTTTCAGTAACGAGTCAGGAACTATTTATGCTGCCGTTGTTTATACAGTCTGATTTGGGAGAATTTTTCTACATGCCTCCCTCTCTGCCTGTGGGCACTCTATAGGGGTACAGAGTGCTTACTCCAAATGTGTGGTGTTCCTTTAGGTTGAAAAGCAAGGTCTAAGTGGTGATACATGCATGGGATATGTCCTGAAAAATCCTCTCATGAAATGTGTAAGATCCTCTAGCAATGTATCTCAACTCCATATGGACAATGCAATTATTCCTCCCAAGCTGTGGTCTCTGCTTCTTATCACTGGGGAGCTTGCAGATGTAGGACATGTAGATGTGGCCTTAGTTTGTTTAAGAAACCCATGTTCCCATGTCACTTGGGGTTTCTTTCTTTTTCTTCCTCTGTCACTCTCAGGACAATTGCTTTGTTCTCCAAGTGAACAGTCAGAACACATTTTAAAAAATAATATATGGAACAAGATGTAACAACAAAGGCCCATCTGTCTCCAGAAGATGGGAAATGTGTAACCCTGGGCATAATGTCACTTGTCAAATGAATTATGTTCTGTTTATACTAAAGAAATAAAATAGTTTATTGAGGAAAAGGAGGAAGTATAAGGTGACATTAAAATGAAGGCACTCAGTAAATAGCTGCCTTCAGACAGAGTTTCAGCTGATATAGATATGCCGCTGCTGAAGTTCACCAAGTTATAGCAGTTTGCATCAGCAGAGGTGCTTCATGTCCACTGAAGCCATTTGTCCTGCACATTCTTATGTCTTCCTGGTGAAGGCCATATTCATGTAACAGGGCTTTGCCCCTATTGTTGTATATAATGTCCCTGAGTATTTGATGTTCATGCAGTAGAGTCCAAGTTGTTCAGCTCCAGGTACAGGGGTAGCTCCTGTTCTATGAGGAACAGATTTAAGCTTGCCTCTTTAGAAATGGCACCAAGCCAAAACATTAACTGTCGTGCCCCACAGTAATTTGGGGGGGGACTTCTCTCCCCTAAACCAATGGATATCCCCTCAGTTCCCTTCTCACACAGGCTGACATTTCAGATGGAGGGAGGACTCACCTGCTGCTTCTGTCTCTGCAGGCCCCTTGGAACACGTTCACTTATCTCTACCATTCGTCACCACAAAGAACAAGGAGGTCAATGCCACGGCAGTGCTGTGGCCAAGCCAAGTGGGAACACTTACTTATGTCTGGTGGTTTGGGAACAACACGGAGGTTTGTATTCCATATGGACTGAGATCAAAATAATCCTGGAGGAGCTCTCTGACTGAGGAGGGAGGGAGAGAGGGATCTGGGAATGCTTCTAAATAGTCACACACGCAAGAAAACCCAATTATAAACCAGAGACTGAAAGTCTAATGGCTCTTTGATGTACCAACATGGAAACGTAAGAACTGTTTTGT